GGGGGGGGGGGGATTTTCTAAGAGGCAATATATTTTTTTGTACACCTATAGAAGTAATATTTTTTTTTTCTCACTTGATGGCTGGAAATATTTTTTTAAGTGAAATTTACAGGCCTATCTTCCAAGCTAGGGAATTTTTTTTTGCACTATGCCTGGGAAGATTTTCTGGGAATAAATCTTTTTTTTGGTTTTGCCCCCCCCCCCAATCACTTTTCTAATGGTCCGTCCCTTAGCAGTTTTAACTATAATTAGATTGTTGATGCTCAGCATTCTCTGTTTAGAAATAGAGCTAGAAAAATAGAGTCTGATACTCAGGCCAGACAATCATTGAATCAAAAACCTGACCTAGAACATGCATATATGTGTAGTGTAAATACGACTTTAGTTTTAGATATTTTGAACATTCCAAATGTAATTAAAGTTGACCAACGAGCAGAACACCGAAAGGTTGGGTAGGACCTAACAAGGTAAATCTTTCCTATGGTGCGTTGGCGTGGAAATAATAAAAAGCAATAAATCGCAAATACATAATATATCCCCATACAAGGTCTCGCTTTTCTTGTTTGTGAAACTTTACTATTTATAATATTTGCCTCCTTCACACAAATGCATCTTATGGCCCCCTATACGGAATACGGGTATATACCTTGAAAGAGTATAAAACATCGCAACTGGTTGAGGAGAAAGACAAATCATTATTTGCAAAAATTGTGAAAGATCCGGACCATGTTTTATATAACCTACTCCCAGAAAGGAGATTCAGAACTTTAAGAGAAAGAAAACACTCATTTATCCTGTATACCTATGATTAAAACTGAACGTTTTAAACGCTCATTTTTAAATAGATGTTTATTTGACTATTTTTAATTAGCTATTTTAACTTTATTAATCACTATAAAAATAATTCAACTTTAATTCTACATTTCTACTTTTAATCACTGTAATTATAATTCAACTCAATTGGAATGGTAAAGGCACACGTTTGTTATGCCTCCTTCCTCACTCTAATAAAGACTAATAATAATAATAATTCACTTACATAGAAGGGACTAAAATAATTGAGTGAAAATATTGAGCTCAGACAGTACTGTCAAATTTTCCATTTCTTCCACCGTAGGAGCTCGGAACGTTCTACAAACTATTTAAACTCATCTTTTAAACCATTTAGGTTTAATACAAGAAAATGTTTTCTTTTTTGATTTTTTTTTCTTGGCACTCTATAACTGTTTGCACTATAGTGTTATTCAGCGACGAGATCTCAAATAATACTGCAGAGGCTGTTTTATTTTCCATATAGATATATTTGTCTGCATTGCCACCCAGAGCTAATTGAAGGACACCTCTGTCAATATTTGTTAAAATTATATAATTTTGTGACGTCCATCTAACTACGCCATATCCATATACAACTTTAACATAATGCCTACCGAACGAAAACCAGACAGATATCTATGGCGTATATTCAACATGAACATATTAATTGTCAATTTGTCAATACTTCTTAAATCTTGCTCGAAAAAATAAATTCAAATTCAGCCATCTGATGGTTCCTCTTGGATGAAACAGGCTGTTGTGGCAACCTTTTGAGGTAAAATGACTATTTCTGCTCTATCTATATGACATCGAATATACCTTAAACTCTAAGCGCGCAAAGCTTAATGGGAGCACAAGTTTCAAGCTTAGTAGTTGGATATTGTAGCTATTTGTGAATGAATTGTTCTCGTAAGGAGATATTACCATGTCTCTTAGAAATGGGCACTATGTATGATTTCTAAACAGATTAAATGATGCTCCCATTATGCTTTGCACGCTTAGAGTTTAAGGTTCAATTTCGGAGGGGGTAAATGATGCTAAATTTATCCATACCATGTATATGTGTTTTCCAACAAACATCAAGTGAAAGCCTGCACCTATATTCGGTGTCTAATAACCCTATTAATTCTTTGGTCTTTTTACACAAACAGTTCTTTCCTAATACTTCTTATACTCCATGCCATCTGGCGGTTTACATGCAACTTTCTTACTTCCAACATCATTCCAGTTTGTACTGAGCACAGTGCCACCAGACTCGACAAAGGACTTGTTCATAGCTCTCTTTACTTCATCACTTCCTTCACCATAGATTTTTTGAAATAATTCATTTAACGCAGCATCACCTTCCAGTGTTTCATCCTTCTCTTCTTTCTCTATGTCTGCAGCCAGTTTGTCCCAGTTACGGTGAATATGACTTGATGTTGGGTAGGAGTGAGAAGATGCCGTTGATGGCTCAGCTTTATTGTCTATATTTTAAAACAACAATTACAGCATTATTGATTTGACAGAGTCAAGTCAGTGATGGAGTAGTATGGTTGGTGGTGCTATGGCAACCAAATTAGCAAAAGTCAAGGATTTGGGTTCGCAAGTTCTAAATCTATGCGAATCAGAGGATATAATACCGCGTATATTGCATGGATATCAAGCGACACATTAAAGATGGATTGATCGTGTTACGATAAGATTCGATGTCTACTCCTTTAGATAATCCGACGTTGAGTTTATCTAATTAATGAGCCAAGTAAGAGCAACGATACGGGAGAAAACTCGAGTACAAATGATGTGATTTCAAGCACGGCAGCGAATACTAATCACGAGACTGTTACCATGGAAGCAACGTCACCCCAGATTCAGTTAAATTCTACTTCGGGGTTTGCCCAAGTTCCACCAAAGTTGCCGCCAAAGTTAGTTTTATCAAAATTTAAAGGAAATGTTGCAGAGTGGACTGGATTTTGGTTGTTGGAGAGTGGACTGGATTTTGGTTGTTGCAGAGTGGACTGGATTTTGGTTGTTGGAGAGTGGACTGGATTTTGGTTGTTGGAGAGTGGACTGGGTTTTGGTTGTTGGAGAGTGGACTGGATTTTGGTTGTTGGAGAGTGGACTGGATTTTGGTTGTTGGAGAGTGGACTGGATTTTGGTTGTTGGAGAGTGGACTGGATTTTGGTTGTTGGAGAGTGGACTGGAAGTCGCTGTTCATGAAAATTTTGAACTGTCTGTGCCAGACAGTGTAGGTAGTGCCAACAATATTAACAGGCTTTCTTTGGTAGGGATGCAACTACCTGAAACTTAGTTAAACAAATGAGGCTGATTATAAATCTCCGTCATAGCTGGAAAGAAACTATGTTTAAATCTATCTGTTCTACATTTGTATAAAGTTGTTGCCACTACGCACCAGTCGTCCGTGCGACTCATACCTCGTGCAAGGTATACTGTAAGGTGAGAAAGCTTCGAAATTGGCTGGGTTCTAAAATTGTTAAAAAGTTTTAAACACAAACGTTGACGGTTGTCTTCGAGTCTTGGGCATCCAGTTACAGACTTCACGGTAAAATAAGTGTGGGTGTATAATCCGAAAAAAATCGCTTCTGTATGCGTTCAATCTTCTCAACAAGGTAAAAAGACGTGTATGCCACACAGCGCAGCCGTAATCCAAAATGGAGCGAATAAGAGAGGTATACATACTCATCAGGTCATCCTCAGGTACTCCACTACGCTTCTTAGTGATAACATCAACGTCATGTTCACCCCATTTCAAGTCATCTTGGATTTGAAGACCTATCAATTTATGACTGCTGACTGTTTCAAGCGGTATTCCATCATTGGTAAGTTGTGATAAATCAGGTAGATCACGTTGGAAATTAACTCTTAATTCTTTGCACTTCTTTGGGTTAAGTTTCATATATATGATTTTGGCGAGACCAGTTTGAAATATAATCTAGTCCGTGTTGCGTGATAGGTTGACTATGTTTTGGTATAACTTCGGAGATGGTAAAATCGTCTACATACTTCCAACGATCTGACTTTATAATGTTTTTAGGTCATTTACCATTACCAAGAACAAGATAGGACCTAATTTTGTTCCCCGAGGGACACCGGTATTTACTTGTGCCCTCAGAGATTGATTCCCAAAGTTTGACTCTCTGCCTGCGATCAGATAAAAAGTCACATATCCATGGAATGAGAGACATATGAAGCCCCATGTCAATCAGTTTAGTGAGCAATACATTCAAGTCAATGATGTCGAATGCCTTACTAAAATCGAGTAAGACAATCCGTAGTAAGCAACCATCAACATCTAATTTGGATAACCAGGAACAATGACAAGTAGACACAAGGTAGTCGATAAACCGGAGGCATCCAAATTGCTTGGGATCGATTTTATGTCCGAAATCTTCAAAGATCCATTCAACCACAAATTCCTCTAGAACTTGTGATATGCATTACGTTAGTGAAGTTTGACGTGGGTAATTGTTTTTTTTTTTGGGGGGGGGGTGCCTTTTTGGAATCGGGGAAATATTCGCAGATTTCCAGTGAGAAGGGGTTATAGCCGAAGATAGAGAGAGAGGTTGAAAATATCTGCAAGCGGGTCAGACAATTCGTAAGCAAATTCTTTGGTTTCACAGAATGGACGTAAACCCAATTGACATGGATCCCATAGTTGTAAATGGTAAAAATTTGGACGTCGTAGAAAGTATTAAATTGTTAGGACTTACCATCAATCGTAAATTAACTTGGAATGACCACATTGGCGACGTGGTAAAGAAAGTAAATAAGAGATTGTACTTTCTCTCCCAACTAATACGCGCTATTTAGATTTAGCATTGTTTTACACTTCGTGTATCAGATCCGTCGCTGATTATGCAATACCTGCAGCATTCTACTATTCATTACCGCAGTACCTAAAGAATGAACTAATACGTTTGGAGAAAAGAGCAATTGCCATTATAATGCCAGATGTGGTCTACCGTGATGCTCTTAAATTTTTGAACATCAAACCTATGGAAAACCATCATGAAAATCTATGTGACAATTTGTTTCGATCTGAAATGCTCGATACAAATCATAAGATTTGTCATTTACTACCTGAAAGACATAATTTGGGCCACTTTCTAAAAAACGAAAACAATTTTATTTTTGATATTCCTCTTATTAAAACTAATAGGACTAAAAACTCATTTATCCTTGCCATGTGCAATAAGTTCAATAAGTCATGTTGAATATGCTAGCTGTAATTTTTAATATTTTTAATGTAAATACAGCAGATGCACCACTTTAATACATAATATTTGGTAACTATTACGTAATTCAGCTTTTTCTGCGATGTAATTTGAATAAATCCTAAATTCCTAATTCCTTTAAGGATGCGAGGCGGGACATTATCAAGGCCAGCAGCTTTAAACGAGTTAAGACTAAGCAACGTTTTACAAACTTGGTAAGGATGGATAGTGGGTAATTGGTCAGAAGCAGGTAAGAAGGCTGGTTGGGATATCTTCATTTACTGAAAGGAAAATAAAAGGTTCAGAGTTGTCACCAGTTCGTCATTAGCGAGGTTCAGATTTGACGTCCACCAAGGGACCATCAACCAATCAGATGCGCTTGATAAATCCGATCAACCAATCAGATGTGCAGTAAACCAGTGAGAGGTAGCGGTAGGGGAAGTCAAATATGAACCTCTCTGTTAGTACGTAGGGCACCATGCTCCTCAAGGTGGATTGGTGTGGTAGTATTTCATCTACCAGACAGTTGGATAGTCAGTTTCCACCAAGATCTGCAGTCACTCTTCTTAAGGTGCCGTACTTTGATAGAATAAAAATTCTTCTTCTTGAGTTGGATTGCAGATTTTACTTTGTTTTTCCGTAGGAAAAGGCTTGCTGACGAGCAATAATCAGTTGTTTAATAGCTACCGACATCCAAGGTTTATCATTACTGTGGAGTTTGACTGTCTGCTGGGGAAAGAAGGTATCCACAGCTTGTGTAATTCTTTCTGTAACTGACCCATCGGGTGAGGCAAAGTTCTAATTGTGTGAGGTCAACCATTGGCCAAAAGCCTCTTGCCAGGATTGAGAAAAGAGACGCCGCTGGCGCTTGATTATCTTACCATGCGGTCTAGAAGTATCATCATCTGGGCGCCAATTAACGACATTACGGTCAGATGTACCCACCGGCGCCAAAATTGAACCCTTTTTATAGAACTGTTGCATGTTGGTAATTACAAAGTCAAGGATGGCTGAGTCTCTAGTTGGTTCACCAATTATTTGACTGAGATTCATGACTGGTTAGCAAATCAGATATATTTAGGTTATTGAAGTCTCCTAGTAGAACAATACCACAATCAGGGAATTTGTTGCGGGCGTGGTCAAGGGATTTTTCTAGGAAGGCGATGGGGTCTGAGCCACAACAATTCATATAGAGCGGATATTCAAGATCAGTCCCTCTTTTATAAGGGATTAAACTATCATCCGTTAAACATACTCCATGTTTCTATTATCCAATTCATGTGTCTATTATCCGTTAAACATTCCTGCGAGTGTCTATTGCAACAGCCATTCAAAACTGGTGGTATTAGCGCGAAGTAGGCTTGGTGTCTGGAAGCGCATTGTCCTTCACAGTGGAACTTAACATGGTGGTGGAATATGCCCGCTTGATTTCACACTAGCTCCGCACCCATAGCACGTGCTCAATTGAATTGGACGGAAGGAGAGTATGCGAATCCAAAATGCACAATCGATTTCCGGTGATCTCTGGTTTGCCCATAGCTAGACCTGATTGTCCCCTGAAGCTAGATAGTTGGGTATCCTAACAAACGAGCACATATAAATAATATAGCAATAGTTCATTTGATTTTCAGTGCTTCCCAGACTATGTTTAAAGGCAAATAATTTGGTTATGTATGAGAACTACGAATAGTTTTCAAAACTTTCCAGGCTTCATTACTCAATAATGGCCTGCTCCAAAAAAATATTAGTGAATTAAGACTTGGATTGAGCAAGGTAGGTAACACTGCCCAGGACCGTAAAATGATGTAATCACGTCTATCAAGATTCATGAAATGAAAAATACCTGTGCCCAAGAAACAAAGGCAAAGGCATGCTACGACAAGAAAGCACGATTTCACCAGCTTAATTTCTTTTAAAAAGCGGTGTTTGTTATTTGTATCAGTATTTTCAACAACATTACCTGGATTTTTTCGTTTTCTGATTGTGAGGTAAACTTTGGTATAAACAAATATACTGACGAGGAGAAAAAGGAATAAAAATACTGAGCTGAATTTGGCAAACAGACCCTCTTGTAAAAAGGATAAAACGGTGAGCAACGTCGTCAATAATTCTGCGCAAGATACAAATGTAAATATTCTTTTCTTCGTGACCAGAGTTCGATGTCTCAAGGGATGCAAAACACCAAAGTATCTTTCCACTGTCATGGCGGTTAATATCCACATAGAAAGAATGATTGGCAGCGCAATTACTCGCATTAATAAAAGCTGTTGAACACAAGTTGTTGCGCCTGCCGTTTCCATAATGCATATATAGCTCAACGAAGGTATAGACAGCAAACCAATAGCTAAGTCAGCACTTGACTGCATCATTATCAAGAAATAGGAAATCTTCTCTTTTAGTTGGGAACATTTTAATATAGTAAGCACGGATACTCCATTTAGTATTACAGTTGGAATAATCAAGATTATAGTGAGTACACATGAAGTACATTGGCTAATAAATAATGCTTCAGTTGGATGCTCAACGACAAATTCATATTTGGCATTTAATAAAGAACATTGATGCACAAATCTTGAGAATTCGTTGGTGACATTCATTCTGCATCGACAGGTACCCTTTCCAATTTTACATCATGCAAACACTGTTATATATGAAGTCGCATCAGATACACTCGACATTTATATATGTTCTAATATAGCCATGCAATTAAAACATCACCTGGTTAAGACTGTGCAGTTCCCATGCACATATCATAATGTATATATAATATCTTTCCACGCAAATTTTTTAGTATTAAATACAGTAGATAAAGGACATATTAATTAAAACACGTCAACTTATAAGACCAATATAACATTTAATGCATTAACTGTAGTATTAATTTTTGTAAAACGAGTTAAGCTGTATAATAGAATTTGTCCGTGCGCGAAACGACTTTTTCCTTTGTCGGCATCGCTTATCATGTTAGCATAAAACGGACTTAAAGCATTCATGAATTAATTTCATTCACTTTGCGGAAAAGAACGAAAAAAATAATAATCATACTGTTTACCACAACAGTGTCAGTGTGTTCAATGGTCTGACAGGTTTTATACCGGGCGAGGGGTTTGCATTATTAGGCTTTTGCATGCATGTGGTATATCGATATCATGCATTTTTTAAAAGCTTTTTTTAAGAATATCGAATACGTTTGCCGTTTGGTATTGCATTTTTTTAAATAAAAAATCGAATATGCATGACGTTAGTGAAATTGGACGCAGGTCATTTTTATTTGGGAGGTATCTTTTTTGGAATCGGGGAAATTGAGAAGGGGTGGTAGCCGAAGATAAAGAGAGGTTGAAAATATCTGCTGGCGGGTCAGGCAATTCGTAAGCGAATTCTTTAAGGATGCGAGCCAGCAGCTTTAAAAGGGTTAAGACTAAGCAACGTTTTACAAATTTGGTAAGGATGGATAGTGGGTAATTGGTCAGAAGCAGGTAAGAAGGCTGGTAACATGTTCAAGTTAAGGGTTGGGATATCTTCATTTACGGAAAGGAAAACAAGGTTCAGAGTTGTCAC